ATGTCTTAACAAATATATTTTTTATTTTTATTTATAGAATTCTTCACGAGTTTTTTTATTAGTAATCACTCTAATCATAATCTAATTTTATTAAACTTTATTACTAATTTTTTTAATTTATTAAAATTATTAACGGGTTTTGATAGACACGAATATTTTTTTCATAATTCGAATGATCTATATATAATACAATTATTTTAAACAAAAAACTTAATTATTGAATAGTGAATTAAATCATGTACAATACAAAAGTATTATGAAAATTTGCAACAATAATTAATAAAAATTTATATTAAGACCTAGCCCAATATCATAATTGATAACTTAATTCTCTTCCCATAAAATATGGATTTATTTATATAGACGTTTTTTTTTGTCTCAAAGTTAGGAGTCGTTGAAGTTATGAAGCGTATTGTTGATAGTAGTGTTCCATAAATCATTTCTAAGGTCAACTAATTAAATATCGTTCATAATTTTGATCAATTAAATACAACATTTCATAAATTTATCATAAGCGTGAGTTATAAGAACTTTAATAGTGAAGCAAAACGAAAAAAAGTGTAATTCTATAAAGTTTCAAAGATTTTACCGCCAAAATTGAAAAGTACAGATAAAGATATACGACGTAGTATTAAATCAATCGAAACACATAAATTATTGTGCCATTTGAAAACAAGTAGAAAATACAAATAATTCATCAAGTAGGTTAACTATTATCAGTCTTGCTTGTCAATTTCAAATATTTTATAATAATCATAACATAATTACAAATATAAATTATGACGAGGAATTTAAGATTACGGAAAAATGAGTTGAATTAATAAATAAATAAGTAAATTATTACATAAATGGTGGAAAAAGGATGTCTAAAGACAAATAGAATAAAAAAGAATAATTGAGCTAAGTAAATTGTCAAAAACATCAAAAGAAATCTAATCGAGATAAAAATATATTAAGAAAAAATTGATCGAAAAGAGTGGTAATGGAAATAAATGTTGGAGTTAAATAGAGAGAAACAGTTATATGAACTTACAGTTAAAGTGAAATCAATGAGAACATTAATATTAAAAGTAGTTTAAGGCAATTACTTTAATTTTAGTGTTTTCCTTTTATTTTAATTATGAAGTAATATAAATATATAATTCAAATATAAATAAAGATAACAAATTGTGAATACAATTAAAAAATATATAACATCATGATCAGCAAAAAATGATTAACCTAATATTGGTTTGTAACCAGTTGAATAATCTTTTCATTGATTTACTTTATTGTTATTATTTTACTGTTAGATAATTTTTTATAGGTAATTCATATTCGTATAAATCATTCATATCCATTCTCTTATCCATTTATCATTTTATCTTTTGATTTATATGCCATCATAGTTGTTAAAAAATAAAAATATGTTTATTAGAAATAAATGCATTGGATTGAAATCCATATTAAGAAAGAATTCATTAAATTAAAAGATTTAAGTGACTTTAATTTGATTAATAATATTAGTGACTTTGATTTATAATATAAGTGAGTTATTAATCAAATTCGTTTTAATAATGGATACGTAAACACTCAAACACTTTTAATTATATTGAAAATCGTCTAAATTTGTTAGCTCACTTTAAATGAGTCCACATTAAGTAAATCATGTTCATGAAGTGATATTAAAAAAAACATTTAACCATGATTATGAGAAACCGAGGTTAAATAAGTTTTTGTTCATAAATTTTAAAATTCATTATTATCTAAAAATTTATAATATTTTTTTTAGATTTATTAAATAAACATACTTGAATAGTTAACTTACAACGTGTTTTGATATATCCAAAAGAATTTAATACAACTATATTTATTTATTTTTAAAATTGATGACCAAAATATAATAAAGTTTAAAATATAAATAAATTGTTGAAATTTAAAAATTAAGAAACTATATTTAACCTTTGATTATATATCAAACTCAACCAATAATGTAATAATTTTTTATACTTTTGTAGTTTTCTCTTAATTATTGTAAAAAGTTTAGTTGAAAGCATCCGTTTTTGAATTTAGTATATTTCACAAAAAATAAACCCATGTACCTTGAGCCTTTTCAAGGTTATAACAAAGTAAGGGATAAAAATAAAACTTGTGTAGATTTGGATTAGAAATAATGAGCTGGTTTTGAATTAAATCAAAATTAGTGTGGTGAACGTGGTTCTAAGACACCCTGTTTCTATCTCATGAATCCGATCCTTTAATTCTATTTTATTCTGTCAGTCTCTCCCACCAAAAAATATTAAAAATAAAATATCTGCAAAGCTGAAACTGTTACCTTCTTGATGCATTCAAATCATTAGTGTAAGTTGGACATTATATTATTAGTATCCCCTGTTTAAGGCTTCATTATTTTTTTTAATGATGTATAAAACAAAAAAAAATAATCAATGCAAATTAATCAGAAAGTGGGAAATAAGTGAATGGATGGATCAATGGAATTTGTTCAGATTGAGTAAAATAAAGTACTGATATAAAAGGATGTTCAGTTTTCACACAAACGGAACACTAAAGAAAAAGTTTATTCTTTACAAGTGGTATTCGTTGAAAGCTTTTAAAAATGGTTGAGAAATTCTTTCAATTTGCTACTTTAAAATTTGTCCTACCTTTTATGGGTATATCTAGAAAGAAAATGAGTTTTGAATTTAATTACATAAAAGATTCATATTATGTTTTTTTCATACTATCTTTATATTTATACAAGGTAAATGTGAGACTTAGATTTATACTATTTTTATATTTATTCATACTATCTATACGATTTTCACATTAGTAGATCACTGACTATAGAGACAAAAAAACTGGATGACCAAAGTCTTAAGTAACTTTAAACACAACTTCTAATCAAATTTATTGGTAAGTTCTATTTGATGGTGGACCGTGATTATAATTTTTCTAATCATAGACTCATTTTGATACCCATAAATATATATCAAAGGTAAGAAGATAAATGATTTCATTTATTATGAATTTAAGATTTTTATTATTACTCCTAATCGGTTATATTACTAACTTGAGCGTCAGAGTCCTTTTGATAGATACTTACCCATACAGTTTAGAGTTCGAACGTCAATAAAACAAAATAAAGTTAATTAAGAGTGTCTATATGATAACTTAAACTGAACTATAGAAAGTATAACATATAAAATTTTTGGTTATGTACTGAATATACTAAATATCTAAGTATTTTTTATATAAATTTTCTTATTGTTTTGAAGATTTTATATGATGTTAAACAATTATATGACATTGTTATGAGTGTGTCAATTTATATATATATATATATATATATATATATATATATATATATAATTGATTTGTGTAGTTATGACCTAAAACTTGTTATAAAGCATAAAAATGCATGTATTTTGTATCGCAATTAGGAATCATAGAGCATGTGCCTTTAACATTGTTCTCATACTTTAGATTTGGATCCAATAAATCACTAACTAAACCAGAACACGCGCGCACGATGTGGCATGTGTGCATTCATGGCATATGCTTTCGGAACACTCTTTGGTTAACTTTAGCAAAACTAACATATGCTTTTAAAATATTCGTTAATTGTTACCATTTCATCATTAATTGATTAAATTGATTCAAATTAAATTAACTACTTTGGTTTGGATTATCAATACCAATTCAACGGATGGAGATCAGACAAGTTAACCAATTTAAGAGATTTATTCTTTCCCTTTCACAAAAAATTATTATTATTCTTTTTGTTTTTAAAATATTTTTTAGTCACTTTACAATTTTTTTATCAGTTGATAAATAATTAAAATATCGTAATTCCGAGATAATGAAATCTTTTTGCCAAGGTGAGGGTAAATTAAAATAATATAAAATCCGATTTTATATTATTTGTTCTTATTGAAAAAAGAGTATGACTCTTCTAAAATGATCTTAAAATGTTGATCATAGGTTTATAAATTAATATAAGAAATGATTTCCTGATCTGAAGAACAATATATTAAAAAAGTAAAATAAAGTGAATATTTTACGTGATAACACATTATATTTATAAACAAAATATATGATATATAGTTTATTACTTTTATATATGTGTCTTAATTATCAGATTTAATTATTTTTAATATATCATGTTCATAATTATATTTATTATGATATAATATTTTGTGGTGTATTGTAGTTGTATTTTCTAAAAAAATAATGCATATTATTATGAGATATTATGAAAATATTGATTATAATTATATTTATTTATTTTATTTTTGTAAATAAGTTAAGATGATGTTACATATGTAAAAAAATGGACTAATAGTAGATAGGTAATAGCTAATTCGTGTTAATTTGTGTATCTATATCTATAACATGAGAATATATAGCAATAAATTTTTCTGCTATGATGAATGTGCAATGCTGTAATATAAATTTATTTATAGTAAAGTTGTTTTATTCATTATTTTTGTTAAATAAATACATTAGTTTGATAGGCTGGAGGTTTAAAGGATGTCATATCTGTTTAAAGGTTTAATTTTTTTATTTTAGAATTTTATGTCATGGTTTATTCGAGTACACACCTGGAGGAAGCACAACACACACTACACCCACAAGAGGAAAACTGCTTGATAATTCTTTCCACCACCACTAACCTTTGCAACTTGTAGTATCTCACAGCATACCAAAGAAAGAGAGGAACAAATATAATGTTAAAATGAAAGAAAAATATTTTATTCATACACGGTACTACAATAGGTTATTAGTGAAATAGGTTATGAGGGGATAAAATTAAAAAATAATAATCCTAAAAATAAATTTTACTGAGAGACAAAATAGTAAAAAGGAGGTGGAGAGAGAAAGGTGTGATGATAGAGGGAGCAACACCTAGTTTAAGGCGGCCAATATGGATTTAACATGGCCCAATACAAAATAGCCCTCATTTGGCCCAATACAAAATAGCCCATAGTATAAAAAAAATTCAGAGACTTAATCTTGCAAATGCAATTCCCAATCCATAAATCCCTCCACCAAAAATAGAAAAAATAGAAACGGCACAATAACGCATCGTGTTTTGGTACTCCTCCTCCTCCCTCTCCGACAAGTCCCCTGGTCCGTTCTGGGACCTACCCGGCGTCGTCTTCAGTGGAATCGTGAAGCCCATCCAAATCCTCGAAATCATAAAACGCAGACAAGATAAAAGTGCTGGAGACAAACGTTACTGCAAGAAAGAATGCACAGTTACTAATTCTCTCATTACTCATTTACAATTGCGAGATAAGGGAAACGCTATTGAACCTGCATTGCGAAGAACTGAATTCACAATTCTTGAAAGAACACCGCCACCGGATGCCGCGAAGAAGAAGCCACCCGTTACTTCGAGTCCTACTCAGAATCATCAAATTCAAATTATGATTTACGTGACGTGAGTATTGGAAAGAAATTTAGGATTAGGGCTTGGAATTTTTCATTTATTTTCTGCAATTTTTTTTCTTCATCTTTTAATTCATGTACTCTTCTTCTCTGTCATTTTATTTTGTTTGAATAAAACTTTCAGTAATTACGTATTTTTAATTAAACAATAGTTATTTTTTGTTGTTGTTAAAAACATATAATTTTACTTTAAGCCACTGGCTGCTGTTGAGTAATTTATCAGCTGAGAAAATAACTTCGCAACTTGTGGGGGTAAGGCTTGCCTGATCGGAACTCCACGTTGTCTGTGCCTCGTAACGAGTCTAACGACAAATCCTTTTATACGCTTGTTGCTTTAGAATATTATGGAATGATTAATAACTTTTATTCATTTAGGTTGTTAAATGTTCGTTTTTTTGTCCCTTCACAGACTGAAGGACATTATCTCCATACGGTCGTTAAACTTGTTGAGAGAGCTGGATTCAAACTGAAGGTAAATTTTAAATTTGAACAGAATACTATGGGAATTTGATAAGAGATCATTGGAATCATAGCTTTAGGAAAATTATATACAATATAATGGTCTTGAGCTGTAAGAATATTACATTATATTTAACGAGGGAGAAGGCGACATGGCTGATTGGTTTTGAGAGAAAATTTATGCAGCACAACCACAATAACCTGCTTGCCAACTTTCATTTGGACTTACTCTATCTCAGACAACAAATTCTTGATTGGTCTGTTGGACAAATCAGTGTTCAACTGATAATAATTCTATCATCATTGCAGGAATTTCGGGCCTGGTTGCTAGTGTTAGCAGGACTATCTACATATATAGCTTAAGCTTTTGGCCAAAGTATTTTCCTGGTAATTTCTGGTTGTTGATTAAATTGTCCTGGCCCCGTATGTATGTAATGAAGTATTTTATATTTTCTAATACTGGTTTTCTGTATGGTAATATCATCCATGGTCGATGCTGTTAATGATTATTTCTTTTTGTTATGGTTTAGAAATAGGGTGTACACCTTATTAGGACCTTCCAACAATAGTTTGTTTAGAAGCCACGAAAATGAATATTGCTGGTTTAAAAGATAGCTACAAGTTGATCGTTAATGCTCTCACTCAGGATTATCAAACTTCAGAGTTTACTTTGGTAAACTCGAATTTTAATTTTCATAAGATTATATTTCAAATAAAAAATATACTAAAATACATAACATAATAATTCAATATTATATTATGTTATAAATAAATTTTTATGTTTTATACTGTAATATTGTTATTATTGTTAGTTGGTAATATCATATACTATTTTAAATATTTTTTATATTTTTCTAGTATTATTATCCTTTTATAATTACACTAGGTGCTATATTATGTAATTTGCTTTACGTAAAAAGGACGTTGATGGACTTACACCGAGGCCAACAGTCCTCTAATTTGACCTTAATATGACCCATAGCTTGGGCCAGCCCTATCAATGAAGCGGAATAGAGAAAGGAAACGGGAGAGTACCAAGGCAGATTTTCAATACAATGATGAATGCACTCATTTGTATGATTGAAAGTGTGTTAGTGAACCTAGTTATTGGTACCCCGTTATGGTTGAATTTGATATTAAAAGAAACAGAGTTTGCATTATTCTTGAGCATTTGTTAAGAGTTTAAATGTAATTGAAGGGACGCAACATGGAAAGTCCCCACTCTGTGAACAGTCCAAGAAGAACTCTCAGTCTGTCAAAGCAGCGGAGGGCAACTGTGTCCTTTTTTGACCCTGATGACAAAACCTCTGGCTTCGGATTGTCTGGCGATCATGGCCCTAAGCCTTCTGAAGTTTATGGTTTTGTAGGTTCTATTACCACTGTTGTTGCTACAGGTCTTCCTCCCTTTTATTCTGCTCTTCAGAATTTTAACCCTTTTCTGTCTATACTCTCTTATACGTGCTTTCTATGCGCAATAATATATGTGATGATTGTAACTTTTAGTTGGCCACCAAGTTTTTCGTGATGCTCATATGGGATTTTGACTTTAATTGCATTTCAATATTTCCTTTGTGAATAGTTATTTTCTTCATATGGGCATATGTTCCAGAATCATGGCTACAATCTACTGGCATATCGTACTATCCTAGCAGGTTAGACATCTCCACTCCTGTTGTTATTTGAACCTATGAAAGTGCAGATGTAATTGTTTTGGTGCACAAAACAATAACTTTTGTCGAGAAAACCTGAAGTGAGAAGTTCTGGAGTGTTAATTTTAAGGTTTACAAATGTCAACTCGGTCACGGTGCATGAAGCAATGTCAATTTAGGTGTTAAGTAGGGTTTTTGGGAAGGGATGGAAGTTATTAAGCCCAACTTTTTCCTTTAGAGTCTTTAATAGTGAATATATATGGAAAAAGGGTTTCAAATCACCTGTTTATGTAACCAATGTGAATTTTGCATCACTTTTTGCTTTCGAGATAATGGAGTGGGGAACTTAGTTCGCATATGTAGGAAAAAAAATATTTTTGGATACTGGGCTTTTCAGACTGTTTGTGTGGCAAAATGCTAGTAAAACAACTTCTGGCTTTTCAGATATTGGGCTTTAGCAGTACCAACATATGTGATGGTGACCATTGTTTTGATGCTGGGATTCTACATTGGTCTTAACTTCATTTCAACACCTTCGCCTTCTTCTTTAAACACAGTTTTTGGTGAGTTCGATGCCAAATTCTTCAGTGACACGTGTGCTTAATTTTGATTGTTACATGTTAGTAAACGACACAAGTTTGACTCCCAATTCATTTGGATTTTTCTTTTCTTGAGGCTGTGCTATCAGATAGAATCCAAAATCCAAAAGCATTGCTTTTAAGTTTTCTGATAACTGATTTGAACATCTCTTTGTTTAGATGAATTCAGTAGAGATCCTTCGAGTAACGAGTGTTCTCTAGAAGATGAAAAGCCCATCGATCCCATTTCAGATATCGGCCTTGACAGAATCAATGATATTATGTTCAATAATGCAACCTAACAATCACATATCTCCAATGCTGTTATGGTGGGAATTGCTGTCAAGCAAGTTCTGCTAATTTGGGTTATAGTAGGAGAAGCTATAGCTACAGAGGTGAAGTTTATTAAGCTGGTGGTGTGAGAGAATGATTTCATTCCATCTTACCGTAGAATTTCCTTTTAATGCTGATTTTGTTAGGTCTAGTTTTTAAAAGCTGTTATCTGCTTATTTTGGAGTTTTGAACCTTGCTACTCGATGAATTGGCGGTTCTAGATAAGGAAACGGCCTCTTTGTTTATGGGGGAAATATTATGTATCTGACTCTTGTCCCAGAATTGTGGTTGTATTTGTGCACATGATATTGACACGTCTACTTGAACACGCCCAATGCCCAAAATATGGGACACGGGGATATAACCTTTATGTATGTAATGTGACAAATTTCAATTGAGAATAAAGATTTATATAGTTTAAACTATTAAAACCAATTTATTACACTTTTCTGCAATAACATTCTTCACTATATAATTTTAAATACGATGACTGTCTTGATAGCTAAAGCAAGTAGTTTTTTATTTTAGTACTGTTCTGTGAAGAATAGGGGTCGAGTTTCTTTTCTCTTGTTAAGATACGTTTAGGATTTGTCCAAAATGGTTTGTCTAAAATGTCGCAAAGAGTGTCGGATCCAAAAGAAAAAATTGTAGTTAAGACGTGTCACAAGTCCAATGTGTGGCGTATGATCCGAAAAATAATTTAGTTGTGACAGTAAAAAAATCGTGTCAAGAAAGTGTGAACTCAGGAACAGTATTTTAAAGGTGGTTCCTAGCTTATATGTATATTTTACATTTTAATTAGTAGAAGACATAGATGGTGAATTGAATTCAGTATTATGCTTAGCATGTACAAATAGTGGATTATAACGAGGTAAACGTGAACACCTCTATTATTTTTTGGTTGAAGACCTCTTGTAACACAATCAAGAAAGAAAGCATAAATTTCCAAGAAATTAATTCTTATTTCTTTTAATAACAAAAAAATATAAATTCTTTTATGAGTAGTTTTAATATTGAAGACTTTTCCTCCAATTAGAATATCACCCCCTTTTCCTTAAAAAATATTTACCTAATAAAAGTAGTTAAAATGAGAAGTATCTTTTTTTTTTTTCATATAATGATTTGTGCATGTAAAATATTTAAGTACCAAATCATAGATTGAAATTGTAAGCAGATATACCAATTATGTATCTAAAAAACATTGATCAAACAAAATATCTTTGTAATGACATAAAGTTGCAAGTTAATGAGTTAGATAAAATGTGATTTTTTTACTGTGATCACATATTGGACATGGACATAAGATAGTTATACTAAGAATAGATTTAGTGTTTTTTATTTTATTTTGGACTGTCTTTTAAATTTCAAAAAAGATAATTTCCAATATTATTTTGTTTTGTAATGATAACTAATAAGAGTTAAGGACAATCTCTTACAAGAGTTTGATTTTATTTATCACATATAATTTTATGTTGTTGTTTCAAAGTTAAAACAAAGAAATAATTATAATTTTAAAGATAAAAATGTGAATACCACAGTTAAAAATATTGTTTATAAATAAATATTCAAAACTCTTCAAAAAGAAACCAATACAACATTTGCAATACGTATACAACTGTTTTTTATTTCAAGTTTTATATCAATTAAAGGTATGTTTATTAAAATTATGTTTTTAGTTTCTTTATAAATTAATGACATTATTGATAAAAGTCTTCTTATATAAAGTTTTAAAGTAATACAACATTTTTTAGATGTACTTCAATTTACATGGTCATTTTTGAATATTTTAACAAGGAATGATGAGTATATAATTTTCTTATTCAAATATATTAATGTATTTTCATTATGCTTATCGATTAATAAAAAACATTATAATCTAAGTTACGGTTGGTGGGTAAAAAAAACTAGTTTGATACATACAAAACTTTTTGAACAAATTAAAATTTGAAAAACATTTATTAAGATAATTAATAAATTAATGATAGATATGAGTTTGGAATTTAAGATGTGGAATAAATTGCTCAGCATACAAGGGACGGAGAGAGGCAGATAGAAAGGGAAGCGGCCAAGATGGTGGGTTTGAAGCAAATGATACGACGGCGCTCCACTCTCCGTGATTACGTTGTGGGTTTCGTAGCGGAGAAGGTTCATTGTCATTGTCCTCTTCCCTCGCAGCATTTGGCACGCCTCACCCCCAAACGCTTCCTCGATCTTCATCAGGTTTTATTTTTCTTCGTTTTTTTTCTCTGAATTACGTTAGATTCTTAGTTTTAACCAGGTTTCGTTTTTCTTTGCAGTTTGTAAATAAGAAAGCAATCGAGGAGGAGCGCGCTCGACTGTAAGTTCAATTTATGGTTTTTGTGAAGTGTTGTAGCTAGTAATGAAGGAAAGTGAAAGAGTAAGTGATGTTGACTGATAGTTTTTTTTTTTTTTTTTTTTTTTTTTTTTTTTTTTTTTTTTTTTTTTTTTTTTTTTTTTTTTTTTTTTTTTTTTATAGTGGAGATGAAATGAAGAGGGGATACTTTGCCGATATGGCTGAGTTCAAACAGCACGGTGGTAAGGTAAGGTATCGCATTTATAATATCAGTGTGCTAATTTGGTCAGACATTCTTGCAATATTGCATTTACTTTACTTTGCTGTTAGTGGCAAACAACTATTTTATAAAAAATTCTTTTGTTTCTATAGCATGTGATTTGGTCTAGTGGAATGTGTTGAAGCTCGTTCATGCGAGATCAATGTTGGTTTTCTCCTGTTTAGTTATAGTTTCTATGTTCCAAGTAGGATGACACACCATGTACATAAACTAAAACTAACTTTCCAAACTCCATATCTCAGTTTTTCTAAATTGGTCTAAACTAGCTTGCTTAGAAGTTAGAACTCTACTTATCTGCTAGGCCAATTAAACTCAAAACAGTTATCTGTATATTGTTTGAATCAGTACACACAGACGCACTATCTGTCTAATAAGAAGGAAGTGATTGACTGTTTAAACTAGAAACACGTCTAGGGTATACCAGCTAAGAAAGTAAGAATATGACAGATTTACCTGTGATTTGTGCAGATTGGTGTAGCTAATAAAGTGATAATACCTGCAATGGCAGCTGTGAAGTTTCCTGATCTTGAAGTCAGCTTCTCGGATGGTAAAACAATGAAGCTTCCTATCCGTGTTTCTGATCTTGCAGTTGATTCTGATAAATCTTCTGTCCCCAAGGCATCTTTGGTTTGTCTTTCATTTCGAGCAAGCTCCCAGGTAATGGATTATGGTAATGTTTTGTGATTATGTAATTTCTATGGTGTACAGTCCACACTATTACGTTGCCTGCTTATTCGAGTGCAGGCAACACCAACCATGTATGTCTTACACTGCTTCTGGTTTACACCCTTTCCACTGCCCTAGGTGCGTTAAATGCCAATCCAACTCTTACTGGTCATTGGCATTCAATGTGTTTTAACATTTATTCAAACAAAGCCCTAATGGTGGACATTTAATGGTAGCATTTGTTGTAGTCTTATTCTATTTGATTGAAAGCTGAACAATGTCTTCTATTACTTGTCCCTGTAAAGGGAATTTAAATGTCATTGGAGACAAGAATAAAATAATAGAGTAAAGATATCGTAAAGAGAACATACTTTATTTACTCTTACTGGGCTATGTTTGCATTTCAGCCTTAAGAATCCTTGTCTTTTTTATGGCAAATCTCATTTATTGCTGCAATCTTGACATGACCTGCTGCAATGAATTTGCAACTCTAAGAAGTACATTTTACATCTTTTATTCTGAGTACAAGTGATGAAGGAACTAGATATTATGCTTGTTGTATTGTTTGGTATGTTTGTCAGTAACCATATTTTTGGCTTAATTTGGTCTACTGTTGCTGCAGTAAATTCATTTTTGTATATCTTTGACAGGAAATGATCAACTCTTGGAGTGCACCTTTTCTTGAAGCATTTGGAAAATCAAAAGGTGTTCATTTATATCAGGTAATTTATCTGTTTCTTTCAGGTTTATGCTTTTTGTTGTTGATCATGATATATTTAGTCAGTCGTATATGATAGCACATAAGTTGTAAAGAAAAAGATGACAATACAAGTTATGCATTCGCCAAGTGCTTAGAAGGTTATCATGGAATTTGAAAATTCTACTTGATTTTCTTAAGTTTTTCCGTTTTGTGCCACTATTTGTCTAAGATGAAAACCCTTAACTTAGCTTCTTGGAGAGAGTTTCTCAATCAATCACTTCCTCTGTTGACCCTAACCGAGAAAAAAACCAGGGAAAGAAAACTCTATAAGTTATTGCTAATTTTATCGCTAGGGCAGTATAATGGTGGAGATTGGAGTGGCGTAGAGTAGCCTCTGGCCATCATTTCATACCTGTACTAGAGTTTTTTATGTACCAGGGGTTGCGGCTGCTAATTGCAGCCACCATCCAGAAATCATGGCCTACTTGGTCACTGTGGCTGGCAGAGGGAAATTCCCCTCTTTATTCCTGAACCAACTTTTTGGGATTTTCAGTCTTCATTTGAAATATAGACGTAGGGTGCAAGATTTGTTCTTTTTGTCATCAGGATGAACACAAGAAAGACCAAAATACAGCACAATGTTTCCTTTCCAACTCTGTTCTGGGGACTGTTCTGGTCTTTCTCTCTATTCTCCCACAGGTCTCTTTGTTCTCTATCTTCTACAGGTCTTTCATTTCGTCTTTGTTTGCTGTTCTGATTTATTTATTTACATCTTTATTTTTTTATCTTTGAGCTTTTATATGTTGTGGTGTAAATTATTTTTGAGCTATATCTGAACTTCATCAGTCATTCTGTGAGTTGCCGAACACTGGAGTGGTCAGCGGTTTTGGCAAGCTATGTTTATTACTTATGTAGCAAAAAATTTAAACTGTTAAGAATATATATTATTTAGAACAATCAAAATGTTAATATATATGTATGACCTATACAATTTTTATATTGAAATTATAATAGCTACTGGGAATGTTTTGCCAATTGCATTTATGCACGGGTTGATTCCAATTCTGTATTAGGAAGTGAATTTTGAACCTAGTTCAGTCCTGAAATTGACTTGTAAGGTGGTCTTTATAACCATGATTAGATACTATAATTTTTAATATTTTTAGTCGATGTAAAATTTTCAGTATATCTCTCAATGAATACTGGGCATCTTAGAGGTGAGATTAAATATTTATGGGTGGTGTGTTAAGGAGTGATATGATAGGTCTAACAAATGTCAATAGGATAAACTTTAATATCATAT